ATACTGGGCACAAGAAACGAAAGGTAATTTTGAAAGGCCATCAGAAGTGGATTAGCTTGTTCCAGGGTCCTTAATAGTTCTGAAATCAGTTGCATATTGAAGGAAAAAATATTTTGGTCTGCTTTGCCTGAACATCATTATAAGTAAATATGCAAGAAAAACGTTGCTGTAGCTCTTCCCTGCAAAACCACAATCACAAGGTCTATCAAGTCAGTGGCCTTTAATCAAGGGTGTGTTAGTTTGGGTGTTAAATGTTAATTTCTTCAATTACCAAAACAGAGCTAGGTAAGGTCCCTTAATAGCCAACACCAAAACAAAATCGAACACCACTCTCTGAATTTATTTAGCAGCCATCAGCAGAAGGATTTAACCCACTGTTTGCCTACAATCCTGCACCTCAGAATAACTAAAAGGAAATATTATTCAGGTTTTGAGGTTCCCACTGAGGGGTGGCAGGATCCCTGAAAGCTGAAGGCCATACCTGGAGCTGATGTGGAGGCTCCAGCCCAGGTGTCCTGAACTTTACAGGCTGCCCAGCCAGGCAGGAGCTGTGCTGCTCCTCAGAGGTTTGGAGAAGCCCCACAGCTCCCAGGCCCTCTCCAGGATAAATCTGTGTATGTCTTGGAAGGTGAGTCTGTTATGAATTAGAGTTTTGATTTTTATTTTATTTTTAAAAATTAGTTTTTTCTTATGGTGACAAATCCTCATATTTCTCTGGGGAACCATATCATAGCTCTGGGGAAGTCTGGATCTCTGAGAGCTGTGACATCTTAATGCTGTATAAGTTTTATTTAATGGTGAGGTTAGTCCCTATAATTCCCCTTTACCAGGATTCCTGCATACCTGTGCCTTTAGCATAATGACCACCAATAACCAGAACTCTCCAGCTGCACCTGGTCTCTGTTTGCAGCAATTGGGTGCCTTGGGTGGGCTGAGTAACTCCCCAAGACAGCTCAGGCTCTCTCCCTGTGTGCCCCTGCCTGCTCCTGCCCTGGCTGCAGTGCTGCTCCTGGGGCAGGAGGGGTGTTTGGATGCAGGAGCCCTTGGAAGGAGAGGTTTCTGTCTCTTAGGGTAGCTGTGGTTGGAAGACACCCTGGAGATATTCAAAGTACAAATCTACATCTTGTCTTAAACAAGAATTTAACTGTTTAAGATCAACCCAACGTAAAATGGTGTATTTGAAGCTTTTGCTGTCCCTGATTGCAGGGCCTGGGTCAGAAGCCTGTGATCCCAGTGATGAGGTGGGCTTGACACTTCATTAGTGGGGAGGGCAAGCTGTGTTGCCAAACAGCTCTGCTCCCTCCAGCCTGCAGAGGGGAGGGCTTTGTTGTGTTTTTAAGAGTTAGCACATGGACACAGTCTCCCTGGATCCTCTTCAGCTCAGACTGGGGGGTTACCGTGGTGCTGTTGGCAGAGTGGCATTTTCAAGCTGGGTTATACATTTTCTGACAGAGTCACCTGGTGATTACATGCTACATTATAATAAACATAAGTTAATAGAGGAACCAAAGTGTCAATTCTGCTTCCAGGCTGGGTGAGCAAGGTTGCTCTGCCAAATTCCCATCTCTGTGACAGGGTTGCCATTTTCTCTTCCTGCCATTGAACTGTTGCATTAACCTCAATCATCAGTAAATATTAGTAAGTCATCTGTGACATTTTGCACCAAGCAAGGCTGCAGGTCCTGTCTGTTGGAAGTTTTTAATTAAATAAAGCTGCCTGCTGGGTGCAGATGGACGGGGGGAGAAGGCAGAGCTCAAAGGGGAGATGAAAGCCACTGCCTCTGCCACGCCAGGGTGTGGGCAGGACTTCTGCTCCTCTTGGACCTTTCCTTCAGAGAAGGCCTTGTGTTTTTCAGATGGCCTCTCATTTGAAATTAAGCACATGGTTTGTGCTCCTGCTCCAAGCCTTTCTGGAAAATACAGATGTAGCACCTGAATAAGCCCCATATGAAAGCTGGCAGAGCAAACATTGCCAGTGGCAGAAGTAAGCCTGTGCTTCGTAAGGAGCTCCAAATGCACCAGGCAAAACACACTGTCAGGTCAAGGTCAGGCTTGAAACTGGACTGGCAATACTCTTTTTTGAGATCTCAGAGTTCCTGAACTTGGAGCTGGGAGTGAGAGGGAATAGATCTGATCTCTAACAACCTTCCTGTCCAATGATCCATCATTTATAACACTGTAGAGGTCTGGAACGAGGCGTGTGCCCGGCCAGCACAGCAGAGGGGAGGCTCAGTGTTAAATGTCAGGGTGGAGAAGGTGGAGCAGCAGCTGCTGCCTTTCCCTGCAGCTCCCCCTTCCTCTGCTGGGCAGGGCTGGAGCTCTGTGCCTGCAGCACAGCGTGGGAAGCAAAATGCCAGCAGGTCAGTGGCTGTGCTGCACGCTGGGCTCTGCTGCCCTTGGCCCTTCCTGGCCTGACCACGCTGAGCCTACCAGGAGCTGTAATTAATACTTGCTGCTTTCCCAGGGGTGCACTTTGCCTGCATCTGGCTGTGCTTTCTAGTTGTATTCTCTCCCTTCTCTCCTATTAATTCCTATGCCACTGAGCATCTGCACTATGGATAAAGCTTTCAGGGCAGCCAGTGGCTGCTGGTGGTCCTGCTCTCTCCACCTTTAATGAAATGCAGTAAATGTGCTGGAGCCCAGGAGCTGCAGCTGAAGAGGCAAGTAACCCCTGCTGTCTCCACCTGTCCATCACCAGTTTGGTTTTTGGATTCTTCCTGTGGCCCTGGTGGATGGCTGGGGTCAGTGCCATGAGCAGCAGCACAGGGTGGTGGGAGAGGCTGGCAGAGCCCTGGCTGCAGTTGTGTTCACTTGCACAGGACAGGCAGTGTCCCCTGTCCCTTGGCAGGAAGCAGGGCATGACTTTGGCACACAGAGCTCAGCATGAGCCCCGTGCCTCTGCCCCCACCCTTGGCTGTGGTGTGACATGGGCTGGCACCAGCAGAGAGCTCCTTGCTTTCCTCACCTGGCTCTGATTAGTAGTAACAATCTTCCCACTTTTTCCTCAGAGAGACTTCAGCCTCAGGGGAACTAGGGAATAGCCCCGAGTAACACAGCCCAGTACAAATGGTTGGCTTCTTCCTAATGTCTGAATGGCAGAAGTTTTTTTCTATCTTGATCTGTTTAGTAGGAAAAATGAGTATTTCAATGCCACAGAGCTGGTTTTGATATTAGCAAGAAATGGTTTTGACAAAAGCACAGAAATAGCCCCAGACTTCAAATCCAAGTAATGAATCTTCATGGCAAATAGGAAAATCCAAAGAACCTTATTTCTAAATTCATTCAATCAATAGTTTTAATTAGCAAGCATTTATACTAAACCTAACCTGGGTGTGATCAATACAGTCTGATCCAGCCTTTTAGTGAAGGGATGTCTAAAGGAGAAAGAAGAATGTGAATAATCTGAGCTTTGTACAAGTACAAAAGAGCAGAATAGCTCTGACCACATGGCAGCTCATGGCAAGGAGGACAAGATGTGGCTTAGCTTGGCTTTGCTGTGAGATGTGATTGGGAATTGAGTGATGGTTGGGTTGTACACTGCTCTGAGCATCCCTGTGAAAGAGCACAGAGCCATTGAAGTGCTCCACAAGCCATCATAATGCCCTGAAATTCCTGTTTTCCCCCATGAATTCTGCATTGCTGGAGAAGGAAGCCTTGAAAGGCAAGCGCTTGGTGAAAAGAGTGGCTCAGCCCTTGGGTGTCCTGACCTACTGCTAGGCTTCTCTGTGCCTCATTTGTTTAAGAGGCTTTTAAGAGCTTCCAGCTATTTTCCATGTACTCCAGCAGAAAGAACTGGGCTCCCACTCGCTTTTCTTTGAGCAGCAGCTGACAGGAAAATGCACATTCCCCACTTGTCACCTCAAACACAGAAAATTCACCCCAATTTACCTGAATAAAGATGGGGGATTAGAAGAATAGCTAAAGAACAGCTAAATAATTCCTCCAGGTAGGCTTTTCTGAGGGTCTGCATTCTGGTGAACTGCAATGTGTAAGCTCTGTTGAAAGAAAAAATTTACTGCTGTTTGTTTCACCAAAGGCAGTGTTGGCCAGGCCCTTTGGAGTGATCCTGCTGCTGGTCAGGCTCAGGACTCCGTGTGGGAAGTGTGCAGGGCTGGCAGGGCTGCTGGGCGTGCTGGCTGCTGTGACAGAGGTGTTCAAGTCAGGGACGTGGCCCTGCTGGGTCATGAAGTTCTCTAGAGCTGCCTCTGAGAGGGTCTGGCTGCTTCATGCAAGGGGAAAGGCCCTTTGGAGCTGTGGCTACTCCAGAACTCTGGAGAAACCTCTGAGCTCTCCTGCTTTGGTGCCTTTCTCAAACTGGGAGCACCTCCTCAGATGTGGAGTAGGAAATGAAATTATCTAGTGCCATTTTGCCAGAAGACTTAGTGCCTCTACTGCAGGTCTAAGTCTTGCTAATTTAGAGGCTGAAGCTGAGCACATGAGTTTCTCAAAGAAATATCCTCACAATACAGGGTTTATCCTCAGAAATATCCTCAGAATTACAGGGTTAGGAATATTTTCCAGCTGAGCACTGTGGTTAGTGCTGTAGGCACAGATGCTGCAATACCCCACCTGGAATCGCTGACTATTCATTGAATAGGGACTTTTTGGAGGAGACATAGGAGTTCAGGGGCAAGTTTTATTCACTAGCAACAAATTTATTCTCTTGTCCCTTCACAAACCGCTACTAAAATCTGCTGTCAGTGTAGAGAGGCTGTGCAGGGGCGAGAACACGGATGTAGTCTTTTTAGACATAAATCCCTAAAAGGATGCTTTGTGCCGGAGTCTGGGGGGCTGACCTACCCCCACCCCAAAACTGACCTACCTCCACTCCAAAACTGACCCACCCCCACCCCAAAACTCCCCCCTTGCTCTTCGGGCTGCGTCCCCCCGCGGACCCGCCCGCTGCCCGCCTGTGGCTGCTGTGCGAGGGGGAGGAGGAGGAGGAGGAGGAGGAGGAGAAGGAGGGGGAGTCCCGGCGGCGGGATGAGGCCGGGCTGAGCGATGTGCGAGCAGGCAGCGCGCTACTGCCGGGCCGGGGTGCAGAAGCTGCTGCGGAAGCCGGCGCCGGCGCTGCGCGGGCTGGACGGGCTGCTGCGCTGGGCGGCCGGCAGGATGGGCGACAAGGGCCTGGCCGACAGGGAGCTGCTGGCCCCGGGGGCGGCCGCCACCCAGAGGAAGGGCACCTCCGTCATCCTCGATGTGAGTGCTCCCCGCATTCCGCATCCCGGCTCCTGGGGGCCCGCCCCGGCTCGGCAGCGGGGATGCTCCTGTGCGCTGCGCTGCCCGGACCCGCCGGGCAGGGCTGGAGCCGGCTCCTGCAGCCCCCAGCCGGGTGGGCGTGGGTGTCCCGCAGCCCCTCGAGCCCTCGGGATCGCTGTTATTTCCCGGGGCCAGCATCTCCTGGAGCAGCTGAGCAGGCTGCTGTCCGGTTCTCAGCTTACCTGGACCCTGCACCGCGAGCGGCTCGGCACCAGGGCTGGTCTCGCATCCCGTATCCTCGGCCGGCTGGGCATGGGATGGGCATGGGATGGGCAAGGGGTGCAGCCCAGCTCCTGCTTATCCCGGGCTCCTTGGGTGTAGGGGTGCCCGGATTTAACAACTTCTTTCCAGAGCCTGTGCCCCTGGGCTGCCTAGGCTATGGGGGTGCAGCCCGGGTCTTGCCCCTACTTGTCCCGGTGCTGCACAGATTGTCGGGATGGCCTGCGTCCCCTGTCCCCCTGCCCTGCACTCTCTGGGACACCTGGGAGAAAGGTGCACTTTGGTTCTGCATCTTCTGGAGCGGGCTGGGCATGGGGTGCAGCGTGGGTGCTGCACTTCCCCTCCTGAGCCCCGCATCTCTTTTTTACCGGATGGGCACAGAGATGTCGCTTGTGTCCTTCTCCTTGGCAGGATTCTGGACTCTCGGTGCTGGCTGGCATTGGGGTGCCCTGTTCCCTGCACCCTCTGGACGGGCTGAGTATGGGTGTGCACCTCAGTTCTGCAGCCTTTTTCCCAGGTCCTGCATCTGAGGATGCACTGTAGGTCTTTAATCCTGGTTTGGGGGGCTGCTGGGGATGTGCTCAGTGCCTCGATTGCTGTATTTATAGACCTTCTGATTAGGGAGCTACCGAGGCTGTTTGCACTTAAATGAATTGGGAGAATGGGGTGGAATCAGCCTGAGAGCAAATGGTGTAATTACAGTCTTTTTGCAGCATCCAGTAATTAAACAGACAGATCCTCTGTTTTGCTATCTCCTAGCTTAAAAAAAAAAAAAAATTAAAAAAAAGAAGTAATGAATGCAAAATAAACTACTGAAGCATTGGCTGTAGTAAAGGATAACTCATGCTCTCCTCAGAGATAGGATAGGCAGTAGTAGTTCTTCAAGGCAAGCCCTTACATTTTGTAAATAATTTGCTGAGCCCGTAGGCATTGGTGTGGGCTGGACAGACTGAAACTCCTTCCTCCTCTGAGCACCCTGAGCTGAGAGGCATTTTGGTTCCCTGAGGAACTGTTGTCTCTAGAGGGTTGCCAAAAACAGCTCAGAGAGCAGAGCACCTGCTGGGTGATCCTGCCCGTGGAAGGGGCTGCAGGTGGGCAGCTGCAGCCTGGGGGAGCGAGCCTGGGGAAACAGAAAGGACAAGTGCAACTCACACCCTTATGTCTTTTAAGTTAACTTGTTCAGGATGGAGTTCCTGGGTTGTTTTTTTTAATATTGTTTTGGTTTGTTTTGGTTTTGGCTTGTTTTGGTTTTTAATCTGTCCTGAAATTGCCAGAATTTTTACAATAATTTGGAATCTGAGTTTCAGAGCACAAATGCAATTAGGAAGCAGCATTAAATTTATGTAAGAGATTTCTTGAGTTAGGAGTGTTTTACCACCAAAATGGTGTCTTATCCATTCAAATTTACTATCTTTAAGTGATTTTTTTTTTTCACTTTGAGATTAGGAAAAGAGCCATGAACTTTCAGAATGGGAAACACAGTAGAGCATTGTATTATTTCAGTGGGAAGTACAATAGAGCTGGGCGTGCAGCTCCTGATCATTTTTCCCTTTCACAATGGTACTGGGAGCCCTTTCTCACCTGCTGAAAGTAGAAATGGGTTCTGGAAATGTAAGATTTGAAAGCTTAGGGGTTTTTTTTCCCCTCCTTCCTTAGAACTTGATTTTCTCTTTTTTCTCCAGGCACAATAGCAAAGCCAATTGAAGCTGTGGCTTCGCTGTAATGGGCTCTTCAAGTGCACTGCGAGACCCCCCTTTCATACAAAGGGTTTAAACAGGGAACACCTATTTAGCTTAATTTTCACACATTAGCATGAAAGTAACAAGCATCCCACTGAATGCTCAGGGATGATAACCTGTTTTCCATTTAACTCCTTCACATTTTTGCTGATGGATGTGCTGGGGAAGCAGTGAGTCCCAGCCATGCAGCAGTGCAGCTTCTCCATGGGGGAGGAAGAAGTAAAAGACCTGCAAGATTTTTTGTTTAGCTAACACGTTTCCATGAGCTGGTGTGCCATGTGGGCAGTTTCTTGGGGGTTGGAGGAGGAGGGGAAAGCTTGGGCTTGGTTATGAATTAGATAAAATGGTTTTGACACTAATAGTACCTTAGTCACTCCTTCTTCCTCTTCTGGCTTTCTTTTAGTTCATCCATCCCCGATGTTCTTGTTCTGACTCCTCCATGAGGGTGTCTGGAGTGTCAGAACGAACTTCCCTGTGCTCTTTCCACCAAAGAAACACAACTGTGCTGTTGTGGGACAAAACTGAGGGCTGAAGAGGAACAAAACACAACAAGGGGCTAAGATGTCTTCTACCATCAGCCTGGCTATTGACACTTGGAGGATCTTAACTTTGGGCTGGCTTCTGTGCTTTTCTTTTACTTTGCCTCTGGCCTTTTAGGTAAAGGATTAAAAAAGGTTGAATAATGTTTACTAGTTCAGCTTGAATGAATGAATGAATGAATGGTCAGCTCTTACAACATTGGTCAAATCATCATAAGGGGTTGAGATTGAGCAAGGGCTCTGTACCCATCCTGTGCCCACCCTCAGGTGCCTTCTCTGGGTCTGCTCCAGCTGCAAGAGCCCAAGGCCCAGGGCTGGCAGCATGTGCAATCTGCAGCAGGCATTCCCACTCCCAGCACAAGCTGTGGATGGACACAGGATATCCGATGCTTCCTGCACCCACCAGAACAAACCCCCTGTATTAAAAACTGCCACAGAGCTGATCCAACCCACAAGAGGAGATGGTGACATTTCCAGTCAAGAACAAATCCTCAATGTCACAATGCTTATGAAAAGGAGGATGTATTACATGGGTGAATATTCTCTATGGGTAAGCCAAAGTGAGATTGTATTTGCTGAGTGTGAATGAGTGCACATGCAACACAGAGCTGAGGTGGATGGCCCTCGAGGTGAGGAAATGTCTATGCAGGTGTTGCTCTCTCTGGGAGCACTTCAGAGCTGCCTGATCTGCTGTCCTTGCTCACCTGCTCCTGCCTTCCTGAGACTGCCAAAAGCCTGTGTTGACAGCAGGAATGTGAACTGCAGAGCACCTGAGGCCTGGTCAGTCACAGCAGCTGCAGGTGAAGATGCTCCATCTTTTTCACAGCTCATGTCCTGCTTGGCATCTAAAGCAAGGATCAGCCTTGGTTATGAGTGAGCATCCCCATGGCAGGACTGTGAGCCCCAAGCTGCACTGCCATCCCTGCCTTCTTTATTGCCAACAGGGACTAAATGCATTGACTTTTGGCTTTATTTTAAACACTCCTGAAGAACATGATTCCTTTCATTTCAGGTCAGATGAAGCTTTCTGTTTAATCTACCCTGTCTTTTGCTGAAAACTAATTTTGACGTTTATCTGATTTTTTTATTCTTTGACAGAAAGATAATTTCAAATCCATCTCTCATTCTTATGGCTCCTCTTGCAACTTCACTTATGTGGCCAAATCTGGTTTGTGCTTCTTCAGCCCCATGGACTGAGTGAAGTGTCTGGATAGAAGATACAGAGAATTTGAGTTGTGCCAATGGTGCATTTCCAAATGTACATCCAGAACTGCCATTTTCACCCATTCTGTCAATGACAGATTTCCAGCGCAGCCCTTAACAGCAAGGCTCTTGCAGCCACAAGAATCCCAGGATCCCTTCTCACTCCTCTTCTGTTTTGACCTTTTTTCTTCTGTTTCCATTTTGTTTGTTGGGGTTTTTTTTTCAAGGTTGCTTCTTTCCCCTTCCTTTGTCCTTGTTTACCTTCTGACTGTGAGTGAACTGGGAGGGCTATTTTCCTCCTCCTTTATCCTCCCTTTGTGAAACCCATGGTTTGATATCTTCCCTTGAGCTGTACCTGCAGGCACAGCTGGAGAGGAGGGCCAGGGCAGGCCAGGCTCTCTTCGTTCAGGAACTGCTCACTGCCAGGTACAGGATCACACAGGAGAGCCCATCCCTTCTCCTCTGATCTCCAGGGCTTTGCAAGTGGGTGCTTGAAATGAAGCTGAACAGAAAAGTAACTTCTAGTGCTGAACGTCAGCAGGTCAGAACATCAGATGCAGCTCTTACCTTTCTCATGCAACTTTAATTTAGGACAGTTTGGTGAAGTCTAAAGAGAAGGCAAGAGTGAAAGCAGAGGTGAACCCCTAACAGCAAGGCTCTTGCAGCCACAAGAATCCCAGGATCCCTTCTCACTCCTCTTCTGTTTTGACCTTTTTTCTTCTGTTTCCATTTTGTTTGTTGGGGTTTTTTTTTCAAGGTTGCTTCTTTCCCCTTCCTTTGTCCTTGTTTACCTTCTGACTGTGAGTGAACTGGGAGGGCTATTTTCCTCCTCCTTTATCCTCCCTTTGTGAAACCCATGGTTTGATATCTTCCCTTGAGCTGTACCTGCAGGCACAGCTGGAGAGGAGGGCCAGGGCAGGCCAGGCTCTCTTCGTTCAGGAACTGCTCACTGCCAGGTACAGGATCACACAGGAGAGCCCATCCCTTCTCCTCTGATCTCCAGGGCTTTGCAAGTGGGTGCTTGAAATGAAGCTGAACAGAAAAGTAACTTCTAGTGCTGAACGTCAGCAGGTCAGAACATCAGATGCAGCTCTTACCTTTCTCATGCAACTTTAATTTAGGACAGTTTGGTGAAGTCTAAAGAGAAGGCAAGAGTGAAAGCAGAGGTTGGGACATGGTGTCAGCTGTTCTTCTCTTGGGGAACAAGGGAAAAAGAAAAAGGATCTGCTTTGAAGTGGAAAATGCCCAGAGACCCAGAGCTCTGCAGCATCTTTGTTTTGTGGGGAACCAGTGCAGGTGGGACAGTATTTCTACACCAATGGTATATTCCTTACTGAAACACAAAATAAAACCTTTCTCCTTGCATGGGGAACACTCATTAACCTCAGGATGTTTAAAGACATAGTCTGTAGTGACAAAGCTTCAGGTCATTATTTTCTCACATTTTCACCAGAAAGAGCAACAGAGAGAGGCTGCAGGAGAGGAGATTCCTGCTGGTGCCTCAGGTTTGAGAGATAAAGGCCATACCTGATATAAAACCTTGTCTCTACTCCAAAGAAGTGTCAAGACTTGTAGGGAGAGGAACAGAAAGCCAGGACAGGAATGCAGGAACATAGTATGAGGATCAATAATATTTTTATGTTTGTGTGGGTCTCTGGATGCCTTCTTATCCATAGGCTTTCCTCATGCATGAGACACGATTATGTTTGTCCTCTATTCTGCACTCATATTATGATGGAAAACAGAATTTCAGCTCAGCTGCATTCTATTTTAAATCAACATCTTATCAACCTGGTGAAGGGATTATAAACTCCACAAACCTTTAATAATTCTTGGGCTTCTTAGGGGAGTGCTATTGTGAATTTAATAAAATTCGTGAGAAAACCTTCATTAAGCAGCCTCCAGTGTGGCATGTTCTCATCCAGGAGCTTTGAGAAGGCAGAACTAAATGTTTAAATTTGAAACCATCATATTTTTTTTCAAGTTTGTTATTACCACCAGGGTTTTGAAATGCTTACTTCTGGCAGTTAAATATTTGTAGTAGCCATTTGAGGGTATAGCAAAAAATACATTTAGAGAAAACCTATTGGAAATCTTGACAAAAGTTCTTTGCTCTAGAGAAAATAATGTTTATATTCATCTAAGGCACTGGTAAATGGGTTAAGTATGCCACAGACAGCAAGCTGCATGCATTGCCTGTATAAATCCTGTGAAGTGGGTTAATGCCCATATTGTGGGCATCCTGTGGGCTCACTGTGTGACTTAGCCCGTGCTTCAGGAGCTTTGCTTAATAGCTTCAAAGCACAGCTGATGGGAGAGATGCTTGCTGTGGTACTTGAAGTGCATAATTCTCATTTCCCATCTGAGATCCGTGCTCTGCCCCCACGCTTGGGGAACAGGGGGTGACGGAGCGGAAAGAGCATCCCTGGCCAGGCTGAGCGCCGGCTCCGAGCCCATGGGATGCTCCTGGGCCACGCGCAGCCACAGGAAGCCAATTGCTGCTGAGGGCCTGGCAGGACAGGGCACTTCTCCATCCATATTTCATCAGCTCCTCTCTTGCTGACCTCCAGGGCTGCTGCCTTGGCTAAGCCTGAGTGACTTTGCTGCTGGGTGGGGATGGAGCTGCGGGCTGGATGGGCTCTGCAGCCTCCGCCTCGGAGATGACACAGCAGCCTCCCTGGTCTTCCCTTCTTCTGGAGCTGTCATTGCCCCCAGCTCCCTGGGAGCCTGGCACCATTATGGGCTTGCTCTCTGGCCCACAGGGAAGCTGTGAGGGGCTGTGGTTTCCCTTCCATCCCCAGATCTTACACCTTTCCCTTATGGAAGGCCCACCACCTCCTTCCCACGGTGGAACAATTAATCCAAGACCTGAGCAGAGGGTGTCTTTGGGCTATGTGGGGGAGGGCACTCTGCTGAGCCAGAACATAAATCCTGGGTCTTCACAGCAGCAGCATTTTTGGCAGCACTGCCAAGCTATCACAGACTATATTACATCTTTATCAGCCTCCCGATACTCATTCCAGTGCTCATACCTTGATGCAGTGCCTGCCTCAGCTGACAGATGACTTTGTCTTAAATTGTTTTTTTCCCTCCAGGTGTCCCAGTTTAATTTTTTTTATGTGTGTGCAAATTTTAGGTGGTTCAATTAAGTTGAAAGAATAAATCCTGCTCATTAGCAATAAAAAAGCCAAGCAGCTTGGTCTTGTAGAATAAACTTTGATAAGTGACACAGCCAATGTGATCTTTCATCAACACATCAACATGTTCATTTACTAATAGTCATACTTTAGAGAGTATCTGGGAGAGTTAAAGCCCTAAAATATTCACTTAGTGAAGCTGTATATAAATACTTCAATTTCTAAACATTTTTTCCATTTCTTAATTTTTTTTCCCCTGTTGCTCCAAGTATTCCTTGCAAGGTAAACAGCTCCATGGAGCACAGCACTGCAGATTGAGCCTTTCTCCTATTTTAATCAATGTTTTACTTATTGGTTTTGCCTTCCCCTTCTCCCTCTGCCAGCTGTTCTTAGTGGGATGGTGATCTCCCAGGGGACCTTAGGACAGGCATTGCTCCTGCTGTGTTAGACTGGCTGCAATACCTTGGTTTCAGCAGCAGAAGGATGTGTTGATGAAACAAAAAGCCCAGAAATAATCAGCATCCAGGAAAAGAAGTGCCTCATCTGGAAGTGCTCATGGGGAGTGAGGATTTGGGGTGTCCAAGCCATGAAGAGAGGAATAAATCATACAGTGGGCAGGGCATACTGAGCACAGGTGAGGGATATGTATGTGCTAAAGCCATGCAGCTTGCTGGGGTCCTGCTGGGATTTATTCCTTCTTCCCATGCACAAACCATGACTGGCTGGCCTTTCAAAACCCAAACTTAACATCAATGAAATCTGTAAGTGTGGAGAGAGGTTGGATTTTCCCTCCCAAACCTTCTAATTGCTCTAAAAAAATGGAGGTCAGCACAGGAGGAGTTTTGATGTGGTCACAAGCTGAAATCCTTGCAGGCAGTTTCTGTGACTCCCCACACTTTGGTTTGGCTCAGGCAGAGGGGGTTTGCCTCTGCTGAAGTCCCAGAAAGTCCTGCTTTGACTCTGCCCCAGGCTGCATAGCCTCACAAGGACTTCGGAGAAAAGAATGATTAATGTTCCTTAATTAAGCCATATTCAGTGAAATAGCATATTCTGCAATTCAATTTGTCTCTTGGGGTTCTTGTTTTGTGCAGCAATTTCTCTTCTGGTATTTTTTTTTATTTAATGGTTTTGTGACCCAGAAAATATGAGATTCTATTTTATGGCTGACTCTGATCTGTCTTGCTGGTGCTTTTATTCCCTCCTCAGGGAAATTTCTTTGTACAACTAAAATCTCTGTTCTTGCTCAAATTAATAGGGTCAGGCCTGAAGAGATGATGAGAATATTTTACCTTTTCTGCCCAAGTTGATTTTTTGGTAATTTATGGCCAACCTGTGCTAGTGGTCATTTCTGGCAGGCACCTGTAAGTTTCCAGCCTTTGCACAGGCCTTTTGCTATTAATTGCATTTTGTTGGCAAGGTCAATAGAGCAAAACAGCACATCTCCTGGAGAAGGAGATGAAGGATGTAATTTAGGGATGCAGAAGTCATGTAAAACACAAGCAGGATGGCAGCTCAGCTCTGCAGGGTTGACAAAGTAAAAGTTATGCAAAAAAAAAAGATATTGGGCTTACTCAAAAGGGGGGGTTGAGGAACAGCCACCTACAAAGGACACCAGATGTTGGAGATGGACCCCATAAGAGGATTTTTGTTAAGGGGTGTGACTGTGTAAAATGAAGTAATACATATGCTTCAAGTAAGTTGCGTTAGCTAATGAAAGTGTAATCAGTGTGTGTGGTTAAAAACTCAATCAGAGCAAGGGCCCTCCAAGTGACCAGCTGATTTTGGTGTCACTGTTAGGGGACAATTCCTCAGATGGGACTGGTGAAAAAATTGCAGTTTTTTCTGCTCTCTTTCTCCCTGGCAATTCTACAGTACTACACATTATTGCAATTTTTTTCCTTCTTAAATGGCTATTTGATTCCTCTCTGTGGGCTGTTCCTCCACGCTGTAGTTTTAAGTCTAAATATAATCTCCTTCCCACGCAGGAGACTTGCTTTAAAAAAAATGTTGTAAATAATTTTTTTTCACAAGTGCAGAGCTGTGAAACTTGGTTTAAGAGATTTTATTGACTCCAGAGAAATTGTCTGGACTGGCTGCACAGCTGTTGGGATTTTTTTTTAGTGTGTATTTTTCTGGTGTTGGATTAATGGATTCAGTTTTCTTAGGTGAGGGAGGTGCTGGAAGTGCTGAAAGCATTTCCACCAGTAGTTCCAGTTGTGCTGCTCTGGGGGAGATGAGCTGAGCCCTGGGGAGGGTGAGCTCAGTAAAGCCCCTGCACTGGGTCCTGAGGGGCTGGAGCACCTGAACCTGCCCTGAGTGTGGGGCTGAGCGTGGTCCTGGTGCAAAGGGCTTCACCCCCGTGCTGGGCAACCTAGTAAACACATTTCTCTCTCTCTCTTTCAATTCTAGATTTTCAGAAGAGCTGACAAAAATGGTAAGTCTGTGCATTCTTACTTCACATTTCTTGACTGGCCTATTGTCAGTATTACTATTTTTCCTGATAGTAACATCCAAGTGTTTAAATGTTGCTCAGTTTACTGGGTCTGATGCTGATACACTCGAAACATCAGAAAAGGTTTTGTTATTTTTTTTGGAAAATATATTATTAGAACAGAAGTTATCCTGGTATGCAAGTTGGCATGGCAGAATCCACCAGATTAAGAGCAATTTCACAAAAACAAGATAAAAATAAATCACAGGTAAGTGATAAATGAGGATCCACCCTTTGGTAAGCTTGAAGTAGCTTTGCAAAACAAACCTAGCTTGTGAATATTAATTGTTTAGTTCCTGAGGGACTGGACCCACATGTCAAAGAGCAGCACACATTGATGTGTGTTTTCAGTCTGTGCCTGGGGAAAGCTGAACACCTGCACTGAGCCAAGTCCTTACATTTGGAATGGCTTGGATGAGTCTTCATTAAATGACATGGAAAGAGAGAACTGGAAAGATAACAAGTTAGGGAAAGAAGAGTCAGTGGGCCCATCCCAGGATCTTTCCATACCCTGAAAAGCAGTTTTATCTTGGATAAAATCCCAAGAGCTAGTATCTATTCTTTCCCTGTTGTACAAGAAGAAAATTAAATGTACATCAAAACTCTTTGTTTGCAGAGGGACATGTGGGAGGGTTGTGCAAAGGAGCACAGGGGACAGTTTGGTTGTTCTCCTCCAGCTTTAAAAGGGAGACACCTGATTTGTGCTGGTGCTCATAGATGGGTATCCTGACTGCCCCTGGGTAAGGAGGGTGCTGCCAGCTGGCTCAAAATAAGGAGTAAATGCCATGTAACTGTGGGCACTTGGTTATGGCAGCTGACAGAGTAATGAGATACTGAAGTTTGCTGCTTAGAAAAGCTGAGCAATTGTGTGATGCAAGGAGAGTAGAGAGGAAAAAATGAGTTTATGCTCTTGGCACCAGACTGGCTGACTTCAGAGATGAGATGGTGCTGGGCAGGTATTTGAACTGCAAGGGTGAGAGCAGGGGCTGCACTTGCAGGGGGTGAGGAGACCAATGCCACTGAGCACAGGCAGAGAAGGAAATTTGTCCTGCCTCTCCTGACCCTCAGTGGGCACTGCAGGGAGGACAGCTGGCTCTCTTAAGGAAGGCCAGGTGCTCTTTGGTGAAGGAGCTTTCTCCATCTCTGCTCCTACTCGTTGCCTGCACTTCAGGGACCTGCAGCTCCAGTGTTTGGGAGCACAGTGGGTGCTCTCCATGGGAATAACACTGCCCTTCCCTCTTTATGGAACCGGGGCACAGGCTGGCACAGAGCAGCTGGAGCTGTGACACCTCTGTCCCCAGGCTGGCTCCTGCAAGGTGGCACTCTGGAGCACGGGCCAGTCTGGGCATCCCTGGGGCTGTCCTCTGCAGGACTCTACATCCTCCAGGCATTCTCCTCACATTTATTCAGATGCTGCTTTTCCCTTGACACAGCACTTGCTAGCCATGATGACCAGTTTCACCAGCCATTCATATTTGATGAACTCTGGATAACAGAGTTTGCCACTCATTAAAATCAGCTCAGTGTGTTCCTCTGCAGCCTTTTGGGATCACAGCTCCCCACAGCCCCTCTCCAGCCTCCTGCAGCTCACAGCAGCTGCTGCAGGACATGAGCAAGAATATCTCCATTGGTACAGCCTCTCTGAAAACTAGGGCTCAGAGGTTTCCAGAGCCAGAGGTAATATCTTTGTATTTCATATCCCTGGGGATCTCTTTGTCACAATTTCTCTGTGACATTCTGGACTTTAATTTATTGATTTGTTGAAATTCAGCCTATTCATGGCTCTACCTGTTACAGCTCCATGGAGCAGTGGAAGCGTCAGCCTGCTGCTTTTATGTCTCACAGCAGGTGCTGTGCACAGCCCTCTGAGGAAAATGAAAATCTCACACTTTTCATTTTTGTCAGAATCCCAGGATGGGTCCCTGAGCTCTGGACAGACTGTTAAAAATACAAGTCCACAGATTACCAAAACATTTTACTCTGTTCATATGCTGCTGTGGTCTCCAGGAGCAGAGGCTCCTGTCTGGCAGGGACTTTGCTCTCCCAGTGAACCAGCTGAGATGGGTCACTGTCTCTCCAGTGCTGTGTGCTGGGGGCATACTGGAGAGAGCTCCCATGGCAGGGAGTGCTGGCAGCTTTACCCAGAGCTGGCAACCCTTGCTTTCCTCAGCTGTGCCAAAGCCACTCTCACAGACCTGTGTAGGAACCCTATGGAAATAGGGCAGGGAAAAATCTGAACAAAACTTTGGCTCTTGACATCTGGTTTAACTACATCTCATTTAACTTTTCCCATGCAGAGTGTTGGAGGCTTACCTAAAAGGCAAAGGAAGGGATTGTAAGATTAAGGGGTAGTCTCATTTCTCGTGCAGTCAAGAGGTCATAAATTTGGAAATCTTTTCAGCGTCTTGATTTTTTTCCCCCCAGCCTGGTAAAAATGGTACATATTGTGTTAAAGCAGAGTGGCTGGTTCAGGCACGGTAACTATGGAGCCTGATAGCTTGAATTTAAGAGCATCTTCCTCCTCCCCCTTTCTTCCAAACCTTCTCACATAAATTGTTAATTTGTGTAAAATTGGATGTTCTTGCTGCAAGATGCTAAACCATGTTATTTCCCCTGCCATGTTCAGGTGCTTGTATTTAGGTGATTTGATTCAGTGCCTACATGTACTAAAGGGCTGCTAATGAAGCAGCTCCTGCTTGTTAAAAAACATCTTGGTCTCCTGCTCCAGAGAAGTGAGATTGTGTCTAATAGTGAGCTAAGTTCCCCAGTGACAGTATCAAGTAGTTTTGTAACCATCTACATGATAAACTCAGAAAATGGTCTGCATAAGACAGCTGGAAATGCTGAACACATTGGAGATAACTGGATAGACTGACAAATGGTCTGAAAGAGGGAGAAGGGCTGGAGTGTAACCTGAGAGTGAATAACTCTGTTAGATCTAGTCATGCTTTGCATGGCCATGGCTGTTAGTCATTCAAAATAATCTTTTCCTTTTGTGTAGGAGTGTTTTTCCTTTCTCTGCTAATAAATCCACCTACTGTCTTGTAATCCTCCCAGTCCCAGTAAACAATACTTAATCATTTAATTGGAAAGTGCTGGGGAAAAGGAGGCATCTTGTTTTAGGCTGGTGCAGTAGAGTTGTCAATCATCTCAGTTATCTACTGTGCACTTAATCCTCTCATTAGAAAGCTGCTAATCAATTAAATAGCTCAGGATTCTCTTTGAAAGATTAAAAGAGTTTTATTTTAGCAGAGCAGCCAAACTGCTAACAATTCATTATAGATAAGCATCTTCCCAAAAACTGATGTTTTATCTGGAAATCTCCGAGTCACTGCAACTACCCAGCCCCCATGCCTTGAGTGTAACTAAATGCAAAGTACAGCCAGCTTTAATCTCTTCTTTAGTTTGGTGGGTTTTGCTGTAATTACTAGATCCTGCTCATGGCAGTGGCCATCAGTCTGACCCACCCATGGGTCTGACTTCCCAGGCAATGAGCTTTAGGTGGTTTCCCCTGGACCTCTGCCCTGGAAGAGGAGAAATGCAAAAGCAAATGTGCCAAAACCTTGGCATATGGTTATAAAACACCTACAGAAAATGGCAGGAGGAGCTGGCAGTGGTGCAGTATTTCACCTGATAGTGACCAGTGGTGAGTTAGTATTGTGGTTCAGTCAGCCTGGCATTTTCCTCTTGCTGCTGTCCTTGTGATTTCTGTACCAAGCCCGAGACCAAACTGTTCTGGTTCTCCCTTCAAATTATATCCAGAGAAGGATGGGAATGCAGCCATTCAGTGCAGGCTGTGCTGAATAGCTTCTGTTACCAGAAATGAAATACAATGAAGAGTGAAGAAATCCAGAGTACAAATGCTGAGAGGAGGTTTCAGTTTTCAGTTGATCTGAATGATCAGCTGAAGGCCTGCAGAGGACGTAGCAGAACTAATAAAGGGGGGAAAAAGAAAGCATGAATGAAGCAGGAATTGGTATTTGGAAAGGGCTTTTTTGGTTAAGAGCCATGAGGGCAATGGCATTGTGCCCATTCCTATCCCAGTAGGGCTTGTCCTTTAAATAGCTGCTCAGAGATTTCTGTTAGTCACTTAAGAGCTCATTAAATGGGATTTATGCTGCTATTCTGTGCAAGGAAAGGTCTGCACATCCCAGTGCTACAAGTCTCATAGCAAACTGCACTAGAAACCATGGGGGCACAGAGAGAGCTCCTGACAAGAGAGGAACATAAACAGCTTTGCACATCAGCATCACCACAAACTGGCCAGGGAGCCTGGCCAGCTGTGAGTGGGGCTGTGCCCTTGTGAGGAGAGGGAGCTCTGCTGCCTACACATGAACTGGCACTGCTGCTCTGCCTGGTGGCTTTGTGGCCATGATGCCTCTGCTGACCAGAGGTATGGGGATCTCACAGGCTCCAAAAGCTGGAAAAAGGCAGAAAAACAAAACCAAGCAAATGAAAAGCTTCAGATATCTCTCTCAGCACCAGCTTGAGACATTCAAGAACTCAAGTTCTTCATAATGTTAGAGAAGGCATGTCCTAAGTGTCACCTGAGTAGCACATCACCAGCTTGAGATGTTCAAGAGCTCAAGTTCTTCATAATGTTAGAGAAGGCATGTCCTAAGTGTCACCTGAGTAGAAATCAGCCTTGTTATCAGCAGTACACAAAGGAAGAGAGTGAGGTTTCCCCCATGGATGGTTTCTTGATGAAGGGATGGTGATGGGACAGCAGGGAGAGTCCTGGACCTTCAGCAAAGGGGAGAAGGCTGAATGAATCCTGGTGCAGGGTGTCTCCAAAGGAACACATGGGTGAAGCTACCAGCCATTTCCAGCCCTTCACAAATGCTGTGTGCCTGTCCTCAGTGTCAGGTTTGTAGATAGGGACAGTTCCTCTGAGGACTTTACAGATCCGGGGAATTTGTAGGATGTTTAGTGGCAATAGCTCT